CAATATAGAAGTTGATGCATAAAAGTGTGTCGAGTCAGTTTGGTAATGCATCTGAAAATTAGTCTTGATAAACAGTTCCTTGAACTTCAACTATTTGTCAAAAATAAACGGAACGCGAATGAACAAGAAAATGAAGTGCAGCTAAAAGAAAAGTTGAATTTTATAAATGCTTCGGACTGACTCCAATTGTAGAAAAGTTTTTTCATGCGTTCCTTGCGTAAAACAAGCCGGGTCAGACCATGAAAATTGTGTGATGGATTTGCTATTCCAAACCCACTCCCGAAATATCTCTGGAAAAATAATCATAAGAAAAACATTTTCCGAAACAATATTCTTTTGCAGATTTCATTAGAACTTGGAAAACTTTCTTACTCTACAATGGATCCATGTAAATATTTGTTTTAACTATTACTTTGAAGTTCAAGAAAATTTTCTTCAAATTCGATTCTCTGTAATTCACCTTTTCTTATTGTTTGAACAACCAAATTTTTCTTGGTCGAAACAAAAGGGAATCAAAGTTTGCTCAATTTAAAGTATCAACAAGTGTTAATAACAGATCATTCTAGTGGAAAAAGGACTGAAATTATCTGCGCTAATAAATACAAGTACGGAAGAAACGCACTTTTCCAAAAAATAAATTTCTTTCCAAAAAGCTGAAATCTTTTCAAACATGTAAACGCAATACAATTTCAATCGTAGACGACAGTTATTGCAACTCAAGTTTAAAACTCTAATCTTGATGAAGCCGCAATCGAATGCAAACGAATGAAAAACAGGGTAAACATGTCAATAAACATTTTGAGGGGAAGAGGCAAAAGAAAAGTGAATGCTTATGAAAGTATCGGGTTAATGAAATATGGTTCCTTAGTGTCTCATTGAATCGTTAGTTATGCTCATCACAAAAACAATGGATAAAAGTTATTTATATTTATTTGTTAAACAAGAAGCTAAGCGCAGAGTGAAATATATAAACTAAAAATATATGTATTCACTCCCTGTTGAGTGATAAATTTTGTGATAATAAAATGTACTTGACAAGAGGGTTAAACCTTTGGAGGGAAAGAGAAACAATAATGATGATAACGAGAATGATAATAATAATAAATAGTGAATGGAAATGAAGATGGATATTGAAAGGAGAGAGAAAAGGGATTTTCTTTAATTTCACTTTACCGTAATTTTCATTAGTAAAGTTGACCCGCAAGTTGATTGAAATGATTGATAAAAACAAACAACAATTGATTCAACATTTTCAACATTGAATGCTGATAACAATAACGATAATAACAATAATGAACGTGAAAGGAAAAGCAATGAAAAGCAATAAGATTTCTTTCAATGGAATATAAAAGTTAGATTGTTCCAGTGATAGTCATGATTTGAATGTAAATTGAATTGTAAACATCAAGTTGAACATTAAGTTTCCCTGGTTACATGTAAGTAATGGTAATAATCAATGATAAACAGAAGAGACGAATAATGACGATAATAAAATGAATGATGAAGAGAAAAGGTTGAATAAGAATAATCTACAAAATCGAATCGAATTTCGGATTCGAAATTTTGGCCGAACTGAGCGGGTTTCGAAAAGAAAATTGAAGAAGATTCAGTCGAAGGTTCGAATAAAGTAAACCACAAAAGGAAATTACAGAAATTTCCTCATTCTATTACATTGGATAACATTGATTATCGATTATCATAAACACTTTTATTTTATCTTCTTTTATACACTTTACTTTTATTTGCATTTTTCGCTGTTGAATCTTGTTTACTTGTCGATGGTTATTGTCCGATCGAGGGAAACATTTTCGAGATTAAATGTCATTCCATAAGGAAAAGTGTTGCAAATTGAAATATTTTTATTTTTCGAGTTTGTTTTCGATTCGAAATGTTTACAGCTTTATTATTGTAATTGGTTTGTATCAATGCTTTTTGCGAGATTTTTATTGTTCCCTGTTGAATCGACTTTCACTTTAATCTGTTCATTATCACTTTTACAACATTCAACTTTCATTATTTTCATTTGGTTCAACCCTCAAGGCACATTAAACTCTTTGATTAACTTGAACATTTTCATTTGGAAATTAAAATTTTCTTCTTTTGCAAACTTTTTTTTCTTGCTTCTCGATTCTGTATTTGTACTTTTTGTGTTTTGTCTCGAAATGTTTTTTTTCTGCTTCGTCTTTTCAACTTTTCTTTATTAACTTTTGCCTTCTTGTTTGTCGACATTTTGTGTTTAAATTCATTGGAAATCATTGATCAATTTGACGCTCAATTTGACTTGGCTTGGCTTGCCTTGAATAATGCTGTAAATCCAGAGCTGAACAGTGCTTTTTGTGTCTGCTTTTCTTTTAAAAATAAAGTGAAAGTAAAAATGAATTGCAATTGAATCCAAGCTTTGAGTTGAGCTAAAATATTATGTTAACTTTTTTCTTCTCTTTTCTTGCTTTTCTCTTGCTTTTCGTTTTTCTTTCTTTCTGCCTCTCTTCTTTTCTTTATTCCTTTTTGCCTGGAAAATGGAGGAAATGAAATTTCAATGCAATTCAATGAACCGATAACCAACAATCAGGGAATTGTAGGGATGAGAATGATGAAGAAAATGAATCGCAGTGAAAAGTTTAAGTCGCTTGAAAATGAAAAGCCAAGTCTGATGATGATTCCAGAGCAAATAACTAATGGATTGTCTTGATCAAAGATGACAAAGAGATGAAAAGATAACGGAAAAGTCAATGAAAACCACAACAACTTTAATCAGCTTAGAAAAGAAAAGTTTTCTTTTCAAAATCAAAAGTTTCGAGCGAAGAATAATCTGACCAAAATCTCGACTATCGAAACTTGTAACGTAATGGAAACGTTTGAATACAAACTTTGCTCAATTTCATTTTCGCTCATCTTCGAGCGATTCAAAACTCAACACTTGAAAAGAGCTCAATCGAGACAGAAAATTATCTTCGAAAATCCAACGAAAAAATCTGAAGTTCTTCCCGCGTAAAAGAATTTATCGTGAAATCTCGAAATTCTTTGCATTATTTCACAAATTCTTGTTTACTATTTCAACATTTCTCATTTTGAATTGTTTATTGTTTTCTCTATGAATCTGAACGAAAAAAAGTGGAGAAAAAAGAAAGCTGAAAATTCCATCGAATATTTCATTTTCGATTATTAACCAATAAACAGTTTAATAATGTTGATAAACAACGATTTGCAGCAATAACTTTCGATATTACTTTTCTGGTTCCACAAAAGCTTATTAACTTGAATGAAATAAGGAAAAAAAGTTAAAGATAATTTATCCGATTGGTTAAATTGCTGGTAACACAGCATTTATGATTGAAAATAAATTATCATTTATCGATCAAAATTCAACTCCCAGTCATTTTACAATTTCCAATTGTGATCAGTTTTTGTCCAAAGTTGAACTTTATTGGCCAATAAAATTGTTTCTCAAAATTTAAAGGTCAAACAGTTTGACTTATTGAGGTTTGCCAAATTATCAATTTAATGTTGTTCGAGTGTTAATTGTGTGAAAGGTTGAAAATTAAACTGATGGAGAAGTAATAAAGATTGTTGGAAAAGCCAAAGTCTTCTGTTGTTTCCATCAATAACTTTTCATGATAATATCATGTTTGTGTTTATACATTTTTCTTTTTCTTTTTTTCTCCTTTTCTTCATCAACTATCTTCTTGCAATATCAACTTTATTTTTGTTCCATGTTCATCATATTTTTTCTTTCATTCCCATGATTACGTCCATTTACATGACATTTTCAGTTGACTGAGTTTCCACTTCAACTAGAATTAACAATAAACAATCTTTTATCACTGACTTGTATCTTTACTTATCATCATCAACAACATTTGTTTCAACCTTTCATTCCCTTCTCATTCTCTGATATTTCATCGTCTTCAGACTTGTTTCTCTTCGCCAGTGATAATTATCATTTTACTTCCCTGTTATGAGTTCACTGTCAATCAGTAGAGTAAATATTAATATTAGGTTAATCAAATTCACGTCCTTTTCTCATGACCAGCAAAGTTGCCTCAATACGAAAGACTAGATTGATTCTCATGAGCACTTGCATATCAGCTTTTTTTTGGAAAATTTTCAACGAACTGAGTAAATTCGAGAATCGATTGCAACTGTTAATCATTTTGTACATTATTTTTCAAAGTAAACTTCGAGGTCTAAAATGTTTCAATAGGTCGAAGTTCAGAAACGTAATAAGTCTTAGAAACTAGAGGAAAGTTGATTCAAAACTTAAATATCTTTAGTCGAGTTGACTTCGAAGAGTTTTCTGATTTATAACGAAATCTTTTCGATCAAGTTGCACGGAAAAGTAGCCATTTCAATCAGTCTTTTTGTTGAATCAAGTTGAATTGACGTCAATCAATAAAGCAACGAACTTTGCTGATCAAAAGTCAAATCATTGGGTTATCAAAACATTATTATTGGGACAAAACTTTTGCTTTACAAAAGATTAAACTATTGTTGACCCAAATGTATTCAACTCTTGACTAAAGGTTTACTGAAAGTTATGTTACATTGCAAAAAAGTTTAACCTCAAAAGTTGATCAGACTTGCCATCTATGATCTTGTGATAGTGCTAAGGTTGATGCCTCAAGTTAGTTGGATTGCCGTTGCAACTACTTAAGTCTTTAGCCTCTTTCACGTTAATTGTCCATTCATATTTCGTATTGAAAGTTTATTGAATTTGCGTTTATTCATTTCTTTGTGATTAGCCTGGATTCCTCAGTTTTATTGATTGTCTTGTAAAGGCTAATGTGGTCACCTAATGAGTAGCATTTAATTAAACTTGGTCAACGAAAACCTTTTCCAACTTTGAACTAGAGGATTGGATCAATTTAAAGATGAAAATGTTTCCTTGCAATCTTCATTGATTTACTTGGGCAAATGTTCAACACTCCCAGCCATTTTCAATAAGCTGTTCAATATTCATGAAATTAGCAGTTAATTAATTAACTCTTTTCTTTATTAAAAAGGTTTGCAATTTCCACTTCGCCCTGGTTATCCACCAATTCTTCCAACTGGACAATTTGGGTAAGTTTACCTTGAAAACCTTTCTCACCCCTTGACCAATCAACATAAGAGAATGTAAAATGAACCCTTTGATTAGCCAACAAAGAATAACCAAAACAAAAGTTGCCTCCAAAATGAGCCCCTCATTAAACACGGAATTGGATGAAATTTCTTTCAATGTAAATTAGATTGTCAGTGATGATGAAAAAGAGTTGCCATGAAAAGTGTCAAAGTGCATTAACCATTAACAAATTTACTCTCATTAATTGTATTGAGTGAAGAAAATGAAAAAAAGAAAGAAAAAGAAGCTTATTATCTTGATAGTTTAACTCTTCTGCCTCCTCCTACTCATCATCACCATCATGATGATCACCAATTGTGTGAAATAATCAAGAGTAAACTCTTGATCTCTATTGAGAATCGAGTATATTCAAAACAGTTTACCATTGAAATGGAAAGCAAAGCAAAAAGTTGAACCAGTCGATAATCAAGTTAATTGTTGACTTTGTGCTAATGTTTCCCATCATCTCTCATTGTTTATCATGAATCCTGTTCGGTCAACTTAAATGCTTCAATCGATTGATCAAAACTCTTTAGTAGAGTTGAAATTAAAGTCAACTTTGAAAATTGTTTTCATGTCAACAAATTATTCCAACAAAATTGTCATCCATTTTCACTGTTGCCATCAATTTGACATTGAATTATTCTTCCAATGAATATTCATGAAACCTGTCGCAACATCATTTGCTTCTTTCATCATCTTTTTACCCTTTCATGTGACTTTTCATGTTGACTCAATGTTAATCTTTCACCATGAAAGACTACTTGTTGAAAGCTACCTTTGACTTTGTTTCATCCAATAACAATTTACTTTTCTCTGCCTGTTCGTTTCCCTCATTTTCCACTTTCAACTTGTTTTATTACATTAAAATTGATTTATGAAAGTTAATTATTGTCAATAGTTACTCTAATGAAATTGCATATAAACACAACACACATGATGCAGTTTATCATCCAATGAAAAGTATGAAGAAGCAAGATAAACTTGTCAGTATCAAAGCTGAACAAGCAATGGGAAGAAGAAGAAGAAGAAGAAAAGTTTCCAGTTGAACGATTCCGGTTATGGGTGTAAAAGGTAACCCAAAGTATTATAATGATTATTTTACTTTCATTATTATTAAAATAATGGAACAAGAATGGATGATTGTCATTGGTAACCAGAAACATTATTGATCAACCAAGTATACACAATGGGTACATGGCTTCAGAGGAATACGATAAAGTAACAAATCTCTTGTGAATTGTTGAATATGTACCTTTTTCGCTCGTTTTTCTTTCTCTCTCTACTCTTTTCTTCCTAATTAGCTTGGTTTGAGCAGTCACTTGCAAGTCCGTCTAGTGCTCTATTCACTTAAATGTATTCTAAACACGAACATGTATCGATGTTTCAATCAACTTTTAATTTCCCTTCAAGTTGCCCTTTGAATTCACCGTGACAAACTCTCTATTCACTTGTCCAAATTTTTCAACCTTTAATCAATTTTAGCTTTAAAGCTTCAAAAAAGATCAAGATCAAATCACACTTTTATTCATCAAAGCAACTGTAATGAATGTTTGCTATTTCAATGACACGGTCAATGTTGGCTCTTTAGTCAATGTTTTTACATGAGGTTTTGCACGTTTCGTTTCCGCTTTGGATATTTCTTTTGACGGATTTCATCCAAAGGGTTTGGATAAATGAATTATTGTTAATTGTTTGGTGTTGAGATGGTGTTAATATCGTTTTTGTTTCAGGGAAAGGCAGAAAGATAAGGTTCAAGGCTTAGAGTATGATTTTAACGGAATCAAGTTTAATGAAAAGTAAATAGATTATGAGGTTCAAGTGACTGGTTTGAAGAGCTCAATTCAATTTCTGTAGAAATAGGATTATCTCAGGAAATGATTAATGTGAATTGATGAAATATTATTGGGATAAGTATTGATTAAAAGGGTATCAAGAAGAGGGAACTTGCCTGTTCCATCATCAAATTTTCATCACATTTTTGGATCAAATTGTTTAACATAATTTTCAATTGCTCGACTCTATTTTGCAAGTTTATTCACTTGATTTTTCATCCTTCAACCAGCAGTTTCTTTATACAAATCAACCATTTCACAGTCAATTTAACTTTATATCATTCAATAGTAAGAAGTGGAAGAAAACCTTGCCTTGTAGACTGTATCAATTGTATTGCATATTATTCAAGTTTCACTTTTCATCTGTTTATAAGTCTGAACAAGAAGTGAAAAGATTATTTTTCAATTTTTTCTTCTTTTCTACAATAAAGTTACTCTTTCCATGTTTCAACGTTTTCTTTAGATTATGCAAGATTCATTGACTTAAACTCGAGTTCATCGGGGCTTGAACATTTCAATGAAATTTTCTCAGACTCTATTCAACTTTTTTGTTTAAACCATGCTTTTTGAAATCCTTTTCAATTGCTTTTTTTCGTGTTTTATTTTCCTTAAGATATCTCACTTTTAACGAGAAAAATGTTGAATCAACTTGACATGAATGGTCATTATTCCTTATTCCGCAAAAGACAGCAAAATGCATTTTCGTTGCTCTACAAAAAAGATCGATAGTCGATTAGAAAGATTGATCCCGTTCGCTGGAAAAGACGGTTACGTTGAAATACGTTCAAGTTAGCCTACAATGAATTGAATTAGACCTAGATCCATAGACTTCTCTCAAGTGCCTTGAGTTTTCAAAAGCTTCTACTTTCTGCTGTTGGCTTTTGGTCCAAATTAATTTTCCGTCTTTTTGTCTGCAAGAGTCAAGAACTCAGTAATCACGAGGTCAGTTTACATAATTGAATGAAAATGGTGCAAGAGGACAGGGAAATGAACAATCATTTGGCTTATTCTGATTACAATAAAATTGACTCAATGCTAGGAAATGTTAATGAAGCCATGAGGTTGACTTTGAGATGATCTTGTGGATCTCAAATTAAGGTTCTGCTTGAGGCGAAGTAAATTTGTTCACTTTGCCTTCTATTTATCTGTGTATTTTCATTATCATCGTTCATTGAATAGGTTCAACATCTAATAGTTTACATGTAATTTTGACTGTGAATTTGCAAGAAACTGGGGTAAACCCTCATGAGGAATGGTGAAGGAAAAAGTTTAACAAATAACTCGACTAGGATGAACAATTGTTTTACCTCTGTTCATCACATCATTTCCATTCTGATACAAAATCCATGATTAGTATCATGATAGCAGGAACAAGGGAAAGAGTAAACCTATTGCTTTCCGTTCATCTTTCCCTTTGCTCCCTTCACTTTCATTTACTCATTTGTCAGTTGTATAAAGCAAGCTAATTGAATTCAATGAAAATCAAATTAGCTAATAACAAATACTCTTGTAAGCCAAAAATTTAATTCAATTAACAGAACTGCAGTTATTATCATTTATATCTGTATAAATCAAAATCATTAAAATATTAACCCCACTTAATCATCTTAATCTTGACATTTTGCCTTCACACAGATTATGTAAAAATGAACAGCAATTGCATTCGTAATGAACTAATAAACCATGAAAATTGTCTTCCAACAAAAACTATTAATAATAAGTTTAGTTTATAAACTTCTGTTCAACAGTCTCGTCCCATACAAGCCTTTACTTCTTGACCTAACCATAACACCTTGTCCCGTATCAATATCTGTACATTCCCTGCTAACATCGTAGTGCTCAACAGAAACTGTTTATTCGTTGTTGGAACTTTGCTCATCATGATCAATGCATCTGACAGTTTTATGAATTGGAAATGATTCGTTAATCATTTCTCTTGGAGTTGGAGTTTACATTATCTCGCACATTCAGGTTTCAATATTGAAACAATCTATAGAGCAAATTAGATTTGATCATTAATTAAGTTTATCTGTTGGAAGAAACGTATCAGTCTTTATCCATTATCAGTTGAATGAAACAAAATTTACATCATGTTCCATGAAAAGAAATCATTTTTCCGCCTCTTCTTTTGCCACCCTCTCTACTTTATCCCTTTGCTGGATAAATATTATGGAGCATTAAATACTTGTGTCTTATTACAACTTTTTTTGTCTACCAAAGCGAAACTGGATGAGAACAAAAAGGGAAAGAAAATGATGAAAAAAAAACTCGAAAAAGATAAAGAAAAATAATACTTTTACTTGTAATGATGATAATAATTCTAATAATAACAACAGCAATAATAACTGTAATAATCATTCCGTGAATCGTTTAACTTCACAAAATTGGCTTACCTTTATCATCCTACTTATCTTCAGATTTCATGTTATCCCAATGAAAATTACTTTGACGAAAGAAAAATGGGAAAAGCAAGACTAAAAGAGAAAAATGTTTCCTCGTTTTCAGCTGAAATTAAGGTCAACTTTACTAATATTATCATTATCATCTTTTTATTTCATCAAATTGTCTTTTCAATCCTTTTCTCTCTTCTCCTGTTACATTTGTTCAGAGATAGACAGGGAGAGAGAAAGAGAAACAAAAACTTATCATGTTCTCATTTTGTTCACCAATTAGTTGAATAAAGGCAAACAATCTTTCATACCAACTTTCAAGCTTCATGTTCACCAATCAAAAGCAGCGTCTCTTGATAAAGTACGACAAGTAAATTGACAATCAAGTTACTCAACTGTTCAAGTTTAGTTACACGATGAGCACTTGATAAGAGCTTTGTGAAAGTTGAAAATTGTTGAAAATAGAAAGTAAAGGTTTAACAAAATCAAATCAACTTTAGTCATCAAGGTTACAGCAACTGTCACAGGGCAAGTTTTTATCTTTATTAATGAGTTAATTTTGAACTGATGAACCATTGCTGTGGCAATACTTTCGTTTCGTAGATGTTAATCCTTATTTTGAAAAACTATCGATGCTGACTCCAATATTATTGATATCTATCGATTCGTCACCTATGGCCACACTTAGTACGCAACGGTATCATCACCGTACAATGAATAGACGCTGACTTAGAA